GAAATTTGTTGCCACTAATCTGATCAGGAAGAGCTATTTAATAACTGTCACACATAAACATTCCCTGACAAATTATTTCATTATCAAAATATATTGATGCCTTGTTTTTTAATGTAATAGATAGTAATCTAATGTAATAATTGCTCAGTTAGTGAACTCTCACTACTACGATATCCAATGCAACAATAACTCATTTTATTACGATAATGTTTCGTGGTCCCGACAAACTTGCATGTGAATTAATGTACTGCTCGTTTCATTATTACGATATTCTCTGAAGCTAAAAACCCCTGTGAAAAGATTTTCTTTCTCCAAATTACAACCTTATTTTCGCTATTTGTTTTTGCTTTTCAAATAATGTAAAAAATCTTATTTTATAATTTTTACCGTTTTTTTCATCTTTTCTGACAAAGAGAAAACTCACTGCTGACAACCCCAAGAACTTCCATTCTTAGAATTGCCTCTCTTATCTCTTAGGAAGTCACAGATGTAACATTCCTATCTGATTAGATTTCATTTTCCACAAACGAAAATCGTTTTCGTTCTTTGGATTCAATGCATACTTTGTTGGTTGACTTGACAGTAAAAAAAAAAAAATGAATAAACGAACAAAAATACCAGATTATTTTCAATAAAAACGGACTTCTGGCATGTTTACGGTTTTATTTTCTGATATAATTTCAATTGTTTCTAATACACTCTATAACAAAACAAATCGACGCACTAAGACGCGCAAAATCGACGCTCGATCAGGCTGGAATGATGCCGACTGGGGACGTATAGTCTTTAGCGACGAATCCTGCTTCCAACTGTGTCCTTACGATCATCGAAGACGTGTTTGGAGACGCACAGGGCAGAGGTGGGATCCTGCCTTCACTATTGCACGCCACACCGGCCCTCAACAAGGCATTATGGTCTGGGGTGCCATTTCCTTTGACAGCCGGACCCCTTTGGTCGTCATTAGAAGTACACTTACTGCACAGCGGTACGTCGACGACATCGTAAGGCCTGTTTTGCTACCGTTCCTTTTGCAGCACCCTGTGCTGGTTTTTCAGCAGGACAATACCAGACCACATACGGCACGTGTTGCTATGAACTGTCTGCAAGCTTGTCAAACTCTTCCTTGATCAGCCAGATCACCAGATATCTCTCCCATCGAGCATGTCTGGGATATGATGGGAAGGCGATTGCATCTGGCACGGAATGTTGATGACCTCGTTCGACAATTGGATCGAATTTGGCAGGAAATACCGCAAGAGACCATCCGGGAGCTTTATCGGTCTATGCCACGCCGTTTGGCAGCTTGTATCCAGGCTAGAGGCGGGTCAACACCTTATTGAATTTGTTACTGTAACTCTGCAATAAATCATTCAATTGTTCTGAAATTTTAATCATTTACGATTCTGTACATTGTCTTCCTATGCACTAATTTTCGTTTCAATCGGACAACTCCTTCTTGGTGCGTCGATTTTTTTGTTATAGAGTGTATTTTACCATAATTAACACTCTGCGAAATAAATTTTTGCGTAATATATAAATACATTTATAATTAATACATATATAACATTAAAATTTTTAATAAATCTTTTGTCCCCAAAGTATGTAGGTCCTCGATATAACAATATATCCCTCTACAACTATCTCTTTATTTGATCCCCAAAATATTGTTGGAGTGAGGTTTTACTGTATTTACAACTGCAACGGTCAAAAGCCCGTGAATACAAAACTTCACGGTTTTGTAACCATCATTTACAACTAGCATAGTTCATAAACCACAAACAGAGAATATAATTGGACACTGGAGCTCTGTTGGTGCTGTGCCATTTAAGCGGGAATGATAGTTTCGTATTCTAATAGGCAGGGGTCACTGATTATAGAGTACAGAACACTGGAAACTTTCCGTCTATTGAGGGAATGGAAGATATATTGTGATATCGATATTGGATTCGAACATCTGATTAGCCGATCTTGAGATTGACCGATTAGCCCTCTCAGGTACTGTATGTACTCAACTGCACGACACAAATTGACTTCATATGGTGAGCCTAGTTGAGACGGATATTTTGGTTGAATATGGTAAAATAGCAGTTCAATAAATCGTTTTTTAACCCTTTCGCACCGGACGGTACATGTGCTGTCCCAGTCCATGGGTGAAAGCCCTTATATAGCAAGACGGAAAAGAGAAAAACCTGGTACGTAAAACATTTCATTCCAGCATTTTTTTCGAAAAAAATGAAATATCTGTAACAATCAAGATTTCTTTTATTATTCTGGCATATATATAAAACTGCTTCTTTTCTAAGATAAAGTATATATTGTTGAAAAATTTAAAAAGGAATAAGTAAACTCCTCCCCAAAACTAGCTATAACTGAAATGGTTTTACTACCAGCCTTTCCTCTTTTCCGTCTCGCTTTCACCCCTGCTGATTTTTCGCCGTATTGAAAGGGTTAAAGAGAAATTTATAAGATATAGAGTTGTAATAAGATATAGAGTTATTATTAGATATGGAGTTTAAGATATAGAGTTATAGATCTGGTTCTCAGATTAAGTTTCTGATTCGTTAATTAATTATAATTTAGACATAATAATTTTTCATAATTATCATAAAAATTTCTTAATTTTTATGAAATTCAAATTTTATTGTTTTCTATAAAATATTGTTAAATGTTTGTGCTAAAAAGATTAGACATAAGCACAAAAGACACGCGGAAAATAAATTCTTTGTGTCGGTTTACACTTTTAAATATTAACAATTTATTCATTACTAGGAGGCTTTGCCCCCTACTCGCTGGGGCTCGCCAACCCCCGGAACTGCTTTCGCAGTTCATTTCGGATTGCTTCGCAATCCAATGCTCGCTTTGCTCGCTCATTGGATACGTTCTTAACGTCTAGCTTTTGTATACTTTTTTGAATACTGATGTTCCGAAAACTTTTCACTGTAGAAAATTCTAAACCTGTACATTTCAATATTAATTTGAAATTGCAAACAGTTCACATATTTTGCTTAATCACACTATTCTAAATTTCAGTTGTTGAGAAAAGTAACTGTTGTAAGTTTTGTTTTAAAGTCTTTCCCACCAGAGGGCTAAAGCCATGTGTTATAAAACAATATGAAATAGTAGTCTGCCACTGAACGCCGGATGTAAAGCATCGGCTTCGATGAACATAATTTTGTTTTTTTAATTCTCTGAAGGGCACCACCCTAATAATATGGAATTTGTAAAATAAATGTATATATTTTTGTTTGTTGATGAAGCCCATCATTTTGTGTTTTCATCAGTGTTCAGAAGCAGAACAACTATGAGTTTTTTATTTTATCACAAAAATATAAAATATATAAAAAACAAAGAAAAGAGTAAGAAAATGAGTATAGTCATAGAGAAAGTTAAAATTATAATATAGTATTTGTCAGTTAAATTATAACTTTTTGTTTAATTAATTGTTAACAATTCAAATTTCTCCGAGGCAATTCTAAACCTTAATTTTGTTCGAAATGTCAGTATTCAGACACGCAACAGAAGTTTAATATGAAGTTCTAAAATGCATATATATATATATACATATATATATAAAAAAGGGATCATAGTAATTATATAAGTAAAAATTAAGGTAGTATTATTAAGTTAAAACAGAATATTTTTAGTTTTGATGTCAGCAATACAATTCAATTTTTCACAAAAATGATTGTTTCCATTATTAAATTCAGTGTCAATAATTCAAATTTTTCTGAGGCAACTCTTAACCACTGAATATAATTTTTTTTATGTACACATTTCTAAATGTCAGTATTCAACCACAAAACAACTTAAAGTCCTCAAATTTAGCATGAAGTTGTAAAATATAATGAAAGAGGGTCATAGCAATAATGTAAGTAGAAGTAAAGATAGCACTGTAAAATTAAAACAATATTTGTAATCAATGAACCAAGTTCTTCAAGAAGCAGTTGTAGAAGTAGCTGGATAGAAGTTTTTTCATTTAAAACTTTTTATAGAATTCTTTTAAAAACACAATTGTTAATCTGGGCATTTGGCGATACAACACTTATAGAATTGAAGGATTTGTTACGTCAAGCGCTCAGGTATCATAANCTACGTGCTACATTAAAGACGTCTCTAGAGTAACTGAATCACTGTTCATATGGAAATCGCAGGTATCCGTCTCATACAACAACGCCCCCTATAGTTCGTTGCGATCGCGAATTTTTTTAGGGAAATGTTTTTTAACCTAACAGAATTCTTTGCCGACTGTTTTCTCTATAAATGTAATAATTAATTAATTAATAATTAATGTATTAATTTCTCTATAAAGTAAATATTTAAGTGTTGTGAAAAGAATTTTATTTAGTTGTGCAAAGTACTTCTTTAAAAATGAAAACTGTTGCCACCAGCGGAAAAGAAATACAGCCAAAATTTGGGAACCACGTAAGAGAATTATATATAATAGATTTTGATTGCGTATCTTAATTGATTACATTGTTGGGTAAACTTTGTTACATTAGTAAACAAATATCTTTTGCCTTTTAATGATTTTAATATATATTTGTGATAAAATGTTGTATAATAAGGTAAATTCACAGTAATATTTTGTAATAAATAAAAAGAACTTTTAATTTCAAATACTTTCATTTTGGATGATCTTTAAAATTTAAAACGTAACAATAGCAGAGAATAATGTAAAGGACGAAAGATAAATAAATATTACAGATAAATGGTAAATACCTTTGTGAATAAGGGATAAAGAAACAACCTATACAGGCTATCTTTATAAATCTCGGTAATTTTATGTTGATTAAAATCAAAGATATCCGGATCTCTGAAGTTAATTATTAAGATTAAATATAAAGTTTTGACGATATCCTAATTCGATATGCGACTCCGTGGCAAACAAGGATAGACAGTGTTCTTGGCCAAGTATTCTTCTCCAGGTATTCTTTGGCCAAGTGCGGCTCGAAAGTGAATCTATTTATTTCTGAGAGTGTAAAAGAAGAAAGAAAACAACATGGAGTTTTTTAAACATGAATTTTATTCAACCAACTGAAGAATAATTTTAAATTTGTTGGATTCTTACAGATCCAAATCAAATAGAAGCAATGTATAATAATTAACCAGTTCTGTTTTCGCATTTCTTGGTCATCGAATTGCAAACCGAACCTGCTTGACATTGGGGATAGGTATAATTTTCATAGACTACTCCGCGTCCGTTGTTTATTTCATTATTATTGCCTCTTGGTTCGCAACTGGCACCTGGAGCTGGAAAAAAGGAAAGAAATGCGTAAATGTAATCGATAAAAAAGATCACCAAGGCACAAAAATTATTAAAAACTTGTGATATTTTTATTACTTTAAAAACTAAATTTTTCTTTAATGTTGAAAAAAAAAATACAATTTGAATGATAATATATACAGGGGGTGGACAAAATAATGTTGACACTTCTATACTAATACATTTTTTGTATCTTTCAAAAAATACTTAAGGAATCATTTTATAACTTCAGAAGTGTTTAGGTCACGCTATTTCTCATGCAAATCAATGAAGTTTATATTTTTTAAAGGTTTGAGGGACAAACAATAAATTACAAACCAAAAATAGTGTTTTTGAGCATCCTATGCTGAAAAATATAGCAATAAATTTGTAAATTGTTACAATTATTTTGGTTACAAGCAATAATTGCAGAAAATTTTGTAAGTCTAGCTTAAATATTATAGTAGATATGAACATTTTTATTTTAAAAAAAAACTTATTTTTTTGTCCTACGTTTCTTTTTGATATAACTATAAAAATATCCATTAAAATTAAAGAAAATTTAAGAGCAATTTAAAATAATTACAAAATTTTTGTTTTAAAAATTTAGTAAGTTGATTGTTGAAAACTGCGCAATATAATTAAAGTAGTAGTTATTTTAAACTGCGCATACGCAGAAAATCTGTAAAAAAAAATTTCTTAATTTTGTAGTGAGTCGTATTTGGAAACAAATGAAGAAAAAAAAATCTAATTTGAATATCTTAGAAATTTAAAAAATTTCAAGCAATTTTCAAAGTGGTTTTTTATTTTTAAAAGAAAGTTAAAATTCATAAGCGGTTTTATTCAAATATTATTTTGTATCTGGGACAAAATTAAATAACTAATGATTATACGTAACAACAAACATTCATACACTTAAATATAAGAAAAGAAATCATGTGAAAGTAAAAATATTTTTGTGGGGGATGATCCCCAACTAAGCCGTTGTGATTTTTAATACATTTTGTTTAATTGTTCAAAAAGAAATTTGTGTTAAACGTCTTATAATTTTGAGTTTTCTTTTAAAAAATACGAAAACTGCTCACTAAGTGCTCATCAACTGGTCCTGCAATTCCCTCACATTGCGAGAGGGTAGCGGGGCAGCACGAATTTGGTTTTCCAAGTAGGACCACAAATGCTCTATTGGATTAAGGTCAGGAGAATTTGGGGGCCAAGACATGATTGAAAGTCACAGGAATATTCCTCGACGATTCGACCTTTATGACTCAAGAAGTAAGGAAGAAGTACGGCAAGTAATGGAGCATTGGAATGAGTTTATTATCTCACAGATTTATTAAACTGCTCTTTATACAAATTTATTTTCCTCTTTTAAAAGCTTAAAACCATTAATCGAAAAACCATTTAAGCCTGATTTCATGGAATATGGAAAATATTGTAGTTTTTAAATTTTTACTTTATTACGACTTCAGAAAATTCGTGAATCCTTTTTCAACTTTGCTTCACAGTTCTGTTTCAATTAAATATTAGAAAATGAAAATATGCAAGTTTTATACCGTAACTTCTTTTAAAAAAATTGTTTAGTTCTTAAAGTCAAGGGAAAAATAAAAGAGATGTATTTTATTCAAAATAAACTTTAATTACAAATAAGCGTTATATTTTCCGTTTTCATCTAATATTAAATTCCATAGTTTTTTTAATTTTGAAAATAAATAAGATATTTGTATCGTCTAATGCAATATTTATAAGTTTAGACAGTTTTTTTTACAGTGCAGTGGAACATAAAAAACATTTCCAAAACAATAACTGCGCTTTAAAAAACAGTGCCAAATATATTAACCTCCATAGCAACCACAATATTATAGTTCTACATGTTTACACTTTTTTATTATCTTAGTCTTTGCGAAAGTAAATATTTTTGTAGAATTTACGTGTTTATCATGTGTTATATGATGAAATTGTGTAATTATTTCAAGTATGTATGAATTGATTTCATAATTTCACTGAAAAAAGAAATAAACTTACCTAAAATTCTTTCACAAGTAACACAGCAACTACATATGGCATAGACTGGTCTAAAACCTGGTTTACAATTTATACTAAAGTTGTATATTCCGCACTGATTAGCATCGCATTCCGCGGCTGAGCTAAATTGCAAAATAGCAAGAACTACGAAAATAGCCTGATACATATACATGTTTGTCTTGTTGATGGTTTCGTCCTGCAAAACATATAATGTATAATAGAATGAAAAATATTATTAGATTATGTAGGAAACAATTTGTTAACGTGAAGGGGAAATTCGCTACATATTTCAGATTGAAATTTTTAGCTTTAAAAACTCACTCTTCACTCTGAGGTCAAGCATCTTTTAGTCTGATATATTGTTATCATCGGAAATGTTCAAAGTAAACAAATGAAAAAACTAAAACAAAGCAAATTTTAAAAAATTAAATTAGTGGATCTTTCAGTAGGAAATAGTTAAGTTCCTTTTATCAATAAATGCAATTTCGGACAATTTTTTCATAAGTTTATTTCCTTTTAACTATCCGAACACTTTCGTTGTAAAAATTTACCACTTTCATCAAACAATACAGAGTATTTTATTACCAATAAACAAACTTGCGATGTGTATAGATCTAGGTATGAAATTTATATTCTTCAGAGCTAGCCAGACTAAAATTTTTCCTTTCCAATATTCTCATGTAAAATGTAAAAGTTTCAAAATGCTAACACTTGTAGTAAAAAAAAGTGGTGACCAAATCCATAATGAAATAAAATAAATAAAAGAAATTCAATACGTTTATTCCTAAAACAAATACCAATATCAGTTTAAGACTGCTACGGTCATGTTAAATGTACAACGCGCAAGTGTTTATTTTTTTCAGGTGTTAATCATTAATATTCATTCACAGAAATACATAACTTTGTGGTTCACTGTTGGAAGTGAATTTTGATGATTAGTAGTCTACAAGAATAACCTTTATTTCTCGATGATTTTAGAATTACCTTCGACCTGCTAGCCCCACTGAAAGTATTTTTGTCTTAATAGCTATAGTGTGTGAACTCAATAGAACATAAAATAACGGACAGTTTCGTGACTCCCCTTATTTCAGAAAAATATTGCCAGTTGTAAACTGTTGTGTTTTTCTCAAAATTTCATCTGTCTCCACGTGAGAAAAAAAAATTTCTCTCAAAAATAAAAATAAAAAACACTAGTCGAATATTTTAAATACAGAACATGTCCTAGTGTTGAGATAGACTTTCTAGTCGGGCATCTGGACCATGTCCGAGAGGTCGTGAGTTCTAAACCCGCCAGCCGAAAATTCATCATGCACGGAATGATGATTGGTGCTGTCTAAATCTGTCGGGTCTACTAAGTCCTCCTCGGAAATCTGTGAATGGATCGGTGGCGTGTGAATGTGTCTTCCTAGTAAAATGGAATTAGACGTATATATGTTTACATGTTATATTCGGATCATTCTCAGGGTTGTTTCCTCGACGGTCGCCAATAGCCCATTGTGCAATTCCAGTGGGATGGATATATATATATATATATATATTTAAAAAAAATATGCATATATATATATA